CAAATGTTAATTTATCCCAAAGAAGTTCCAGACATGGAAGACACCTGAGTATGTAAACAGAGTGTCCTGGAACTCTGGTGCTTACCCAGACCCCAGAGAGAAGTTTTAAATAGAAAACTCCCTGAGCCTGAAGTAATATGGAAGGAGGCACACATCCAGTCTGAAAAGCTAACAGACAAAATGAACCTGGCAGGCAAGAGCAGGAGGTGGATTCCCTGAAACCTAAAAGATGAATAATAATACAATCTTATACTGTCATAAAAGCCCTCACAAAATAATTTTAGTTGACATGTGGAAATGTTTGTAATGTAATGTTAAGTGAGAAAAATAGGATTTAAAACCATATATAGATAGATACTTGCCATATGCAAAAATAATGTAGCTAAATATATACATGTGTGTGGAAAAATTTTCTGGAACACCAAATGTTAACAGTCGTCCTCTGTAGGTGGAAGAAGTACTGGTGGATTTGGAGTCTTTATTCTTCTCTACATTCCTCGCAATCAGCACGGTTCTCTGAGGCTCTCAAATAAACACAAAACTTCGAGGTGCAGCCCCTAAGGCTCCACTCAGGGCCCCCAGGGGTGGACGGGCTTCTCCACAAACCACCTTGTTTTTCCTCGGCCTCCTCACAGCGGATGCTTGAACAAGTTGCCCCCCACCCTCACCCTGCCGACACATGAGGCTTCTTGGAAGCCATCCCAATGTGGGAAGATGGGGTGCTTTCACCCCTGAAACAAACCCGGACACCTCTGCAAGGAAAGCCACGTGTCTTGGTTCAGCCACATCCAGCATAAGCACCTGCAGGCTGCCCCAACACAAACACGAAGCCACCTCCACCACACCCCGCAGCCTACCACTCTTCCAAGGACCCAGTCCACTGAAGCTACATTTTCTTTCCCAGGCTAAGAAGAGGCTGATTGGGGAGGAGCACCGAGTTCCCAGCACAGTGACCCTGAACAAGCTCCCGCTCCCCTGGCCCTTGGTTTCCTCGCCGTGGCTTGCTCTGGCTGCTTTTTCGCCTCGTGCACTCCAGCCTATGACTAATGCATCCCTCGACCACGCATCTGGAGACACCCTGCTCCTTCTGGAAGCGGATGGAGACTCAGAGCAACTGTTCTGGGACACAGAGGTCACAGATGGCTGCTGGGGTGTTAGTAGTGCGTGAGCCATTTTAGTTGTCAAATAAATACATAAACAAAGCCCAGACCAGATCGGGGACTGCCAGGCCAGCTGCCGAAAGCGAACACATCTTAATCTAACAGCTTCCTTTTCCTCCAAAAAGCGCAACCCAGCGTACCTAGCCTCCCAGACAAGCAAGCCCCCAGCTGTGGGCAGCAGCAGCAGGCCTTCCAAGGGACCCAACTGCCCACTAGAGTGGAGGGGAGGGAGAGGTGCTGAGTGTGAGCCAAGCAGAGTGCACAAACACTGGCAAAAGTGAGAGGGGGCAAAGGTGATAGCTGGTGATAGCTTTAGGGAAACTGGGGCCTACAGCCTACAAGACCGCCGCTTAGGTCCACGCATGCGCGCTGGGCTTAGAGGGTCAAAGTGGCTGATAGAGGGCCTGGAATCTGCTCCTGGCCAGCGGTTTGTGTTGGAGAATGATTGAAACTTTCAAGCTCCTGATCCCAGTTTATCTGAAGAACTGTAGAATGAAGCTGGCAGCAGCCTCCACTACTGAGAGGCTACACACAGTCAATGGGATAAAACATACACAAAACAAAACATAGCTACCACATGATCAATCACTGGGAGTGGAAAAATCCAACACAAAACCTGCCCGGGATCCCGAGACAGCATTGGCAGGAACCAGGAGGAAGAAGAACCACACAGCGAGTTGGAGCCAAAAGGAACCTCGGTGACCTTGGATCCAAACATGCATACGGCAGAGAAAAGTTTGGGAAGGTTGAACCACTTCTAAGGCTGCACAGTTATCTGGTAACACAGCAACACCTAAGCCCCAAACCTCTGCCACCGTTCACTTTACGGCAACCCATCTAACTGAGGACAACCTCCTCACAGAAGCAGGGAGCACCCTGGAGCAGACCCCAGATGATTACAGAGTCCCAAGACAGCCCTGGGTGAGGAGGTGGGAGGATGGATATTGAAGAGTCCTGGGAACTGGAAGTAAGGACTAGCTTCTCAGTACAAGCATGGGTGGGTGTCATGCTGCATGTAAAAGACCACACATTATTGACAATCAACCATTCCAACTTCAAAAAATGCAAATGGGTCACATTAGATAAGGTAAAACTCTTTTCTCTCTCAAGTTTCTGCTACATGGAACAAAATAAAACCTGTGGTTCACTGACCAACCTAATCCTTGCTCTATGACTCCTATATCCAAATGTCTAGACACACCTCCCCAACACTCAGTGACATTATTCTCAGGGCCCAGGGCCACATCAGCCTTTGCCTAGCATATCAGGGCAGGGAGCCAGGTGCCTGCAGGTTCAAAAGCCTGGCATTCCACTGACTCCAGCTGCCCAGAAGGATACAGAGCATTCTGTACCTCCTGCAGGGTACCTGGGCAATGACAGGTCTGGACCTAGAGTCATCGACATCTTGGCCAGGAGCCTTGTTTAGAAGCTGGCCCTTAACTTGAGAGGAGGCTCTTCTTTGCAGGGCAGAGCACTCCCAGGATCCCTGCTGAGCAAGTGGGGAGACGCAAAATGGGGGAGAGCAGTCCTCAACAAGAAAGATAAAGCCTGTTTGAGACTCACCCATGTGATCTGGAAACCCAGTCGTTTTAATCAACATTTACAGAGTGCCAAGGACTACACAATGTTGCTGGGCATTCTAGATCATTCACAGAAACACACAAGATGTGATCATTGCCCCGGACATTGCCTTTGAGGCACTGGCAGCCCACTGGGGGAGGGAAAACATATACAGATGTAACTTAACAGTTCTCTGACACCTTCTTGGAATGTGCTGTGCGCATGTCAGTCTAAGAACACACATGCTCGGGTTGGGGAAACAGAGCCTGCCTGCCCAGCCCCTGTTCAAGCCATATATTAATAACGAAGCTAGACTTTTCATTTACAGCCTGCATTCAATACGTCAGGCATAATACTAATTGCTATATATCCCTCCAGGAACCCCAGGCAGTCGTGCTATTATTTCTGTCCCCTTTTATAGATGAAGAAATTAAAGTTTCTAGAGGTTACAAAGGTGACCGTCCCAAGGTGACACAGCCAGGCATTTGTAAACGCATCCAAGCCCAGGCCTGTATTATATTCCACTTGTGCCCACCCTCAATTCCCAGAGGACTGTTCTCCCACGGCCCCAGCTTCGAAGCAACAGCCGCTGCCTCTGAGGGGAATGAGCCTGCCATTCCTACCAGTATGGCCACTCCATTCCCCAGGCCCAAAGGGTGAGGAGGACACATTCTGAAGCCTGTGACCTCTGTGGCACGAGGACAGGGCCAAGGCATTGGCACCCACTCAGCAGGCAGACTTTCTCCAGCAGCCTTCCTCCGGCTGCCCATCTCTGTGCATTCCTAATGTGGCCACGCTGTTGTAATGGTCGGGCTCCGAGGCCCAGCCCATCTAATGGATTGAGACTAGCGTGGCGAGCGCAGGCCAGCAGCAACCCCGGTTTAATGGCAGCATGAAAGGCCCTCGGAAACGGAGCCTCCGTGGCTTCTGCACTGTGTTTCCTCCTTCCTGCACCCCACCTTCCCTAGGAAACTTGGTGACTGGGAGGGAGGGAGGTTGGAGGTGGGGTGCGAGAGGCTGACGACAAGGTTCTGGGCACAGGAGTCAGAGGGAGGACTCGGTTGAATCGGGCTCTCCACACCTGGCTCCGGGAGATCCTCTGAGCCGGCTTCCCCTCATCCAGTTCCTGCTCCACCTCCCTCCCTGGACACAGGGAATGAATGCATGACGTGAGAAGAGGCTGGGAAAAGTTAAACGTGCATAAATGTGACCAAAGAGAGAACTCTGGGTACCTAGGCCTGCTCGGGCAAACTGCCAAGTGAGATCAGAGGCCCCAAGTCCCAGATACGGGAGCACAGGACGCTGCATAGGATGGCAGGTCCTGGACACGGCTAAAGCTCACCATTACAGAACCTACTGGTGACAAGAATTCAAAGAGGGGGAAACACACTCAAAAGTGTGTCCCAGCAGAGCCGGTTCCTGGCAGTGTGCCCAGGCACTTGCTGGCACTCGGTGACCCAGGCACTGCCTGGTGCCAAGATTATGGCCTGGTAGGCCTGGGCAGGGAGCCTCAAGGTAGACGGGACCTCCCCCCACCCCACGACAAGGACTGCCACCATTAAGCCTCGCTCCCTGAGCTGTCCAGAAACAGCAGACGCACCTCTGGTGTAGCCTGCAAGCCAAAGCCAGAACACAGGGGCAGTCAGCAGCATTCTCCCTGCCTGCCAAAGAGATCCCTCAGTAGGCGCTGGGCAGAGGCAACTAGCCCTCTGGGCTCAGCAGGAGAGTCTGGAGGGTGGAGCTGGCTGGTACAAGACATTGGCAGAACAAGTGAGCTAAAGAGTGTCTTCCGGAAGCCAGCCTGGTCTGATCCGAGAAGCGGCAGCAGGTTGGCCCTGGTGTGCCACCCTTAACACGTCCTCAGCCCTCCCCTAGAGCTCTGCTCTCCTCCTCCTTGTGGAATCCAGATCATTCTCAACCCTGCACTGTCCCCTGTCTTGGGGACGACAGTGGTGACCCCTCCAAATGCTCTAACCCGACTCCAGGCCCCATCTGCTGCCTCCGGCTCCCTCGCTGCAGAGGCTACAGCACTGAGGTCATGGGTACCGTCAGGGTGGTGATTCTCCAGCCACCCAGCCCCCTCCTGCTTCTCTCACCACAGCCAAGCGAAGCATCCCTACACAGAGCCCAGGAAGGCCAAGTGTGGGCTGGGATCCAACAGCCAGAGAACACCTAGCTGACTAGGGACGGGCCTTATGCACTCTTAATCTTCTCTAACTCATCCCCCAAGCCACCCAACATAAGAGTTTCGCAGAGTACCTTGGGCTGCTATGAACTCACCGGAGAGGGATCTTGACTCGGAGGTAACGATCCACAGCAATAGCCAGCAGAGCCAGGATGGAGCTCTGGGTGAGGATGAGGACAGGGCAGGCCACCATGAGGCAGGTGTGGAAGTAGGTCTGTGGCCCAATGTTGATAAGGATGGCTAGTGGGATGACCAGGGCGCCAACGGCCACATCAGCTACTGCCAGGGATACGATGAAATAGAAGGTGGCATCGCGAAGTGCCTGGTTCACCTTCACAGCCCAAATCACCAGCACGTTTCCAGGCACAGAGACCAAGGCAATGAGCACCTCGATGCCAATGTAGGCAGCCTGGAAAGCCGAGATGTAGGGCGGCATGGTGGGCAGGAGCTGGGCACATCAGCAGACAGGCGCCCTGGGGCACGAGGCCAGCACCTGTGGTCAGGAAGCCTGCGGTGGGGATGCCAGCCTGGGAAGGAGGGGACATAGGCAGCCCTGCGAAGATGTGCCCCAGTTAGCAGATGCAGCGCCTGCCCAGGCTGGCCAGGCACTCAGCCTCTCTATCTTCTTAACCTCTGTCCCCTCCCCTTGTCCTCAGAGGTTCCATTCAGCAACTTAAAATAGCAACACTCACTCCACCACTGGCTTTTGTATCAGGTGTGAGGTAGCTCCCAGTACACTCACTCCACAACGATCCCCTATGCCTCCGCAATGCCCACAGGTGTCCGCCGACCCGGAGGCAGGGAGCTCACCATCTTGCCTGCCAACCAGTAGGGGGTCCCAAAGGCGTTGCCCTAAGTTCCCCGGGCGGCTTTCCGGAGCCGCGCCGGGCAGGGCTGGGCTCTGGGCACCGTGCGCGCACCGGCTCATCATTCTCCAGGCTCCCGCCGCTGCGCTCCCAGCCCGGCCTTTCAAGCAATCACATGGTGCGGCAGAGGCTCAGCCCCGGACGCTTTTAAAGAGGTAGTGCCCCTGTTTCGTACCTGGGACTGGATGGCAGGCGTGAATCTGAGGGACTAAGCCCAGGACCTGGCGGGTCCACGGGCTCTCATTTCCCGCGTGCGCGCACGCCCGCCCTGTGCCCACCCACCTGGGACGCCGCTGGTGTCCGACTCTTAACAGTCGCCTGGTCCTGCTCCAGCTTAGAATCTTTGCCCATCGACTGCCCCATGGGGGGGCATTCCAATCATTTCATCCACCCTTCTCCTGCACATTCATGGTGCACGAACTGAGACACAGACTTACCCAAGGTCACACCAAAGCTGTCAGAGCTCCTCCTAGCCACCTGAACTGTCTAGCCAAGTGTCCCCAAATCTCGAAGCCTTGGGCAGTCGCTCCCTCAGAAGATGCCAGGAGAACCCAGGGCTAGCCTGTTAGGTCCAGGGGGATGGTAGCTAACCGAGACTCCACTCTGGCGCCAGCGCCTTCGTCGCCCCCGGAGCGGGAGCTGAGTGACAATCGGGCTCCGCACACCGGGAGGGGAGGGGGCGGGGGCGGCGGCGGCGGCGGCACCCGCGGGCCCCTCCCTCGTCGCCCTCCGTCTCCTCCCCCACCCCCTCCTCTAAACAAAGGAAGTGATTCTGTGTGAGAAAAGCTGAGAAAACGTGAGCTTCCCGAACGGTGTGATGTATGAATCCGGCCTCGGGACAGTACAGAGGTGCGGCCTCCCGTGCTCTCTCCCTCCCCTCTCAATGCGGCAGGAGGGTGGGTGGCAGTGAGCCCTGATCACCTGCGGGACTCCAGAAGGCCCTGCTCTGATCTCCCACAACCACTAAGGGTTGGCAGCACGGCTCCTCCCCTAATCCCAAAACCTACTCTCTTCAGGAACCCGGTCCCCGCACTGTCAGGAAGGCACAGGCTTCCAGCACACACGTTACTTCTCAGGCGATATCCTGAGTCATTACATCCCTTTCTCATCCATCTTTCAGAACGCTTTGCGGGCTCTTAGCAATTTCCATTTTGCAGATGGGGATGCTGAGGCTCAGAGAAGTGACCGGCTTCTCAAGATCACCACTGTCAGTGTCACACTACGATGCTCCTTTCTTCCCTCCTCCTCCTCCTCCACCTCCTCCTCCCCAGCACCTAAGACCACAACAGTAACTAGTTCAGTCCCTTGTGTTCCAGAAAAAGAAGCAGGCTGGGAAATGAAAGGAACTTGCCAAGGACTACAGCATTTAGCAGACCAAGCCGCCACACAGTGCCCTCCCCATAACGCCCCTAGCCCACACCTCATCACTTGCTTCCAATCAGTAGGCACAGCCCCAAGCCTTCCTTCTGGGTGCCTTACAGAGATCCCTCTCTGAGAAATCACGTTTGTATGTTGGAGAAGGGCCTGCACTGCACAGGAGCTGGGTTAGGCTGGGGGAACCCCAGCGCCCCTCCTGCCCCCTTGCTGGATCTCAGGATGAGAAGGGCTCTCACCGCTGGAGGGACAGCCATCGCTTCTGCTGGTGTTTGCTGCAAGATCACAGTAGGGAACAGTTTCTGGAACCTGAGTGGCTGGGCAGAAGGGTAAAGGTAATTCAGTTGTCTTCCGAGGAGGAAGTCCAATGTGGGAGAAGACAGCATCTTCCACTCCCATCCTCAGAGAAGAAGAAATCTGAGTCTGATCACAAAAGGGCAGTCCTTCTAGGAAGGCTAGCTGCCAGGTACCCTCCCTCCCTGTGTACTTCGCATTCCTCCCCATTCCTAAGAGCAAGTTGACGACATTCTCCCACTGCCCACACCATGCCAGGAGGCTGAGGTCTCTGCCTCTTGGCCCTTTATTTCCTTGGCTCAAAGCCTTTAAGGCACAAAGTCTTTCTCTTAATTAATTTTTTAAGACAGGAACTTGCTATGTAGCCCAGGCTGGCCTCAAACTCAGTCATTTTAGCTCTTCTTTCCCAATGCTGGAATTAAAGATACAATCCTGTACCATGCTGGGCAAAGAGAGTGGTTGTTTGGTTGGTTGGTTGTTTGGTTGTTTGTTTGGTTGGTTGGTTTTGTTTTGTTTTTGTTGTTTGTCTGTTTGGTGCTGAGGAATGGAACTCAGGACCTCATGCATACTGGCCAAGCGTTTTACAGCTGATTCTATCTGTGATCTTCTCTTGAGTTTTGATTTGCCTCTGGTCAGCCATATGGCAAACCCAGCATGGGGCAGCCAGAGGCTTGAGGGAGAGGACACTGTGGAAGGACAGGGTGGAACAGGAGGAGCCAAGTGCCTGGGGTGGACGCCGAGCCAAAAATGTGATGCTGCTTTTCACACATGCCCCAGATCCCTGACTAGATGACCCTCCTCCCTCAGCCACATGACCTGCCATGATTTCCCTGCCTCCAGCAGAGCCCTGATTTCCTCATCTGTATGACGGCTTGACCAGGAAGAGCACCTCCTGGAAGGCTATGAGAACCGCATACGCATGTTTTAGGAGAGTCGAGCCCAGACCATGGATTAAAAAGCCAGCTTAAGGCCAACAAGATGGCTCAGTGAATAAATGCGCTTGCTGCCATGCCTGACAAAGTGAGTTCAATCCCCAGGACCCACAGTACAGAAGACGACTGTCTCCCAAAGGTTGTCTTCTGACCTCCACACACGCGCACTGTGGCACTCACACACACACACACACACACACACACACACACACACACACACACACAGAGGCACATGTACTAAATAAATAAAATGTAATATAATCTTAAAAAAAAAAAAGGGAAGCAGGCAGCGCCAGGCCAATGGGGAGAAGGGGAGGGAAGGAGAGTCCAAAGTTCAAAATACTGAAATCTGCCCTGTGCTGATAGTGGAGCTATGTTGGGACTAAATCCCACAGGTACCAGGCTTGAGTGCCCTTAAAGGTACCCAAGTGAAAGCGTTTACTAAGCATGTCCCTCTGGGGCAAGACGATGCCACAGTAAGTGAAAAGTCCCAGGGCCCGGTCTTCACCCAGTTTCCTCCCAGTCCTGTCTTGTTCCTTCCAAGCTCCCTGCCTCTGTCTCTCTGCTGGCATGTCACACCACCAGCTCTCCACAGCGGGCCTGGTGAGTGTGGAAGAGAGGGCAGAGGCGGAAATGCCACTGGGGCAGCCCGGTTCAGCAGCCCTGAGCCTTCTCCAAACTCCCCCAAGTGCCCCAGAAGCTTGCTCACCTTGGGGACACCAACAAGAAGAGAAAAGGAGGGTGCCAAGGTTTGGGTCCAACTTCCGGAAGAGCCTGGGGGAGGAAGAGGTCTTAGGGACTCTCCTCTGAAGTTAGGCATGACAGTACATGTTTGTTTTCCCAGCTCTAAGACGGCTTAGGCAGGAGGATTGGGAGTTCAAGATCAGCCTGGGCCAGCCTGGGCCAGCCTGGGTTACATAGTGAGACCCTGACTCAAAAACACAAAAACTTCTTCTGAGGCTGGGGGTATATTTCAGTCATAGGGTGCTGGGATAGAATGTAGTAAAAAGTCCTGTGTGCCGTTCCTTGTGCCATTAAAAAGAAGAAGAAGGCCGGGCGGTGGTGGCG